ATCATAAAGTGGCTTTTCTCGCTGGGCTCGGCAGACCCGGGTCGGGCCTGCTTTTTTTGTTCCTTTTGCTCTGTATCTCTGTTCATAGACAAGATACAGTATTCCAAATAATACCGTTTTGCAGTACTCGTGAAACTCAATCATATCTAATTTTGTTGGTTTGAAAATATCGATTCTGAAAGAAATTATGACAGAAAGTATGCCAGCGAAGGCCCGGAAAAGGCCCGGATTACAAGTAAGATTTTCTCAACTTCTAAAACATTTCAGAACATGAAATTGTGTTTTGATTAAAATGGAATTGTTTATTTCAAACATTTTGTCAAACAATTTTTCTCCAAACTTATAAATTTTTCCCCGGTATAGTCAATTATTAGAAAAAATTATAATGTTAGAAATATATCATTTCATTAACTTCTGAATATAACACAACCTATTTCATGTCGGCAACGTCCTAGAAATTGAAAAAGTTGTTAAAAGTCGCTGTTTTATACTGAACTGATATTATTCGGCTGAAACTAGCGAATTCCAAACATTTTTAGAAGTGTCTGGATAAGCTATTTTTAACCTAAATATACTGAAAATTACAGAGAAATCTGGGTTTACAAGGTGTTGTTCCCTTGTAAAAATGATGAACTAAATGCCTCGAAATTCACCAAAAAACTATTTTAAGTTTGCCCGGCTGGAGCGATCCCTTACAAAATGCCACAAGTTTTGTTATGTGACCCGACTATTGTTAATATCTGCCCGTACGACTACAAGGTTTGAGTTTCTCTTATTTTCCTACTTTTTTATTACCTTTTTTATGAACAATACTCTCTGAATACATCTGTTCTTTGAAAACTTAGTGATGTGTTCTGTTGTTAGTCAAAAAATAACGCGGAACCTAATAATACAATTATTTTCTTTTGCAGTGCGTCGAAGCAGCTAATGGTCATCAACTTCCAGCCGACGGACGATCTCTTTGTTGTAAAACCAGCACGCTCTACTCGTTTGCATCTGTTTTTGGAGAAGCTAAAATAAGCCCTCGTATTGTGCCAAATCCCCCTCTTTCAGCCATCGAATATGTGTGTTTCTGTCTTTTTTTATTTACAAAAAACAAGGCAAGAAAAAACTAGACATTTTCAGGTCACTCTGAACGTTCACACTTCCGCCAAAGAGCACTCGCCGGAAATTAGGATTGGTGATCATTTCGTGCTGACTCCCTACAAACTCTACGAACCGGCGTATTTGAAAAAGATCAAACTGTTTTCGGACTTTGGCCACGGCTCATTTGTGCATGTCATCCTTTTTGGTAAACTCATTTTGAACATGTTCCGTGTGGATGGATGCGTTCACGCGGAAACTGGCCACTGATCTAGTTATGAAGACAGGATTTCGTTTTTTGTGTTTCTTGTTTATCAATTTTTTTTGCGGTTTGAAAAGGCAAAAAAGTTGAAACGAAATTTTAGATCCCATGTCAACAACTGAAACGATGCAATTCTACTACGATCGTCCCACTTCTAATGGGAAAACGATAAGTTTAGATGAACCAATTCCAGATGGAGGTTTTTCAGCTCCTTATACAAACCAATAGAACATGCACTTTTTCAGGATTCATCTCGAAGAGAATATTCAATGCGGCTCCAATTACACAAATAGAAAACCCCTCTCGTCCGGGACCGATTAAAGAATGTGAGAACTTTTAGAAGCCGGGCGTGCTATAAAAAACTTTTCAGACCGCAAATTATGGATTGTTCTTATTTTCAAAACTACTAATCCCTTTGGTCGAGTTTACATTCTTTCGACTAAAGATTTGCACAGCAAGTATCGTTCGGTGACTGATTTCTTGAAATCAGATACTGGGAACATGCTAGGAACTCCTGTAGCTGGAACTTATTTCTATGTAAGTTTTGGAGAGAGGAATATTTTCATTTTTCAAATTTTCAGCTTACAACCGACTGATTAAACCATTCTGAACACTTTCGTATTTCATGTTGAAAACTTTTTTTATACTACGTGTTATTTTAAAAATATCCTGTAAAGAATAAATGTATTGTAAAAAAGCACTCTGATCATTCGCATTCTATAATTACCCATCAGGAAATTAGCCTGGGAACTTTCCGTGAATAAAATATAACAAGAGAGACTCAAAGTTTCAAAGTTGATTCTCCCTGTTTTCACTAAATTTTCGTTCCTTCTCGTTCTGCTTTTTGCATTTTCAAGATTTTGAAGTGGTCTTCAAAATCTCGGTTACGCATTATTGGGTAACTCAATGAGCCAGATCAAGATTTTGGAATAAGACAGACTTGCGAAGAGCGATTTGTGTTTTGAATATTTCAATTTTTGAAAATGATTCTCAAATTATCTAATCGCTCACTCATACCGCCAACTTTGAGCTGAATTATTTCGATTACTGTGAACGGTATAAAAAATTGTCAACTGACGGAATATTGGTGATATTATGATACATAATTCATCAGTTGACAAAATTTTGACATCTTTCACAGAAATCGAGATTTTTGAGCTCCAAGTTGACGCTTTGGGTAAGCTCCTATTAGAAAAAATACAATATAGTGTGATTTTCGTTTTGATCGATATTTTTTCTTAGCATATGCTTTGTATTAAAATTTTCACAACAACTCTAGATTGAAGCCATCCCGAAAAGAATGAGTTCTTGTGTACAACGTCCCATGTTATTTTTTCGTGCATCTTTTCTCGTCACCATCATTTGATAACATATTGAAATTTGTTGTCGCCCGTAGAAAATAAATGAAAGATGTTCCCAGCGCCTTCAAAAAATTTTCATGGATTTCTGTCGGAGTCTGTTGCGTGAAAACCAGAGCAAAGAAAAAACTTTTGGGACGTTTGATATGTGTCCGTCCATCTTTTCCGTTTCGAGTACACACTTGCACATGTTGCGACTGATGAAAAAGTGAAAAAAGCTAGTGTCACACATGGAAAGTATGCTCGTATATATTTGTGTAGATGTGTGTCCTGAAGGAATAAAAAGTTTTTTTTTCCTTCGACGCTTCATTTTTGAAAGAACAAAAAATGAAATAGCAGCGTAGAAAGAGAGAGAGAGTCTCAAGTCTCTTCGAACGGCGTGTGCAACTCACGCACACCCAAAAATATGAAATATAACATTCGCACCAACCAAAAGCGCGAATATCAATGAATCTCGGGGGAACGATACGGCTCGCCTGCCGTTTCGTGTTGCTCTTCTTGTCATTGCGATAAACTGGCAGGGTCCGCTGGTCCACCATTTGACTACACTCCTTCGGAAAACCTCCCAGTTCTATGAGTGAAACATCCTTGGATAAGATGCGTGTATGTGTTGGTCCGCTTCCTTTTCTTTTTCTTCTTCTGCTTTTGCTATCTTCGAAGCCCCGCCCCGGACGGACGGCCGATGTGGCGCATCGCCAAATGTGTCATTTTAGTTGTCTTCACGAACCAGAGGGCCCCCACGACGGACGGGCGGCCACGCCCACCTCAACCAGAATATCCTTCCTTCTCCCATCCAGCCCTTTCGGACGCGCTGATGCGCTGAACAAAAAAGACGAAGGAGCAGAACGACGACGAAAGCGACGGAGGAGGCGGCATCAAACGAACTGAAGCGGCTGCTCCTACCACCACGACCACCTTCCACGCCAGGAAGGACGCCGTTTTCATGAAGAAGACGGTTAGCATACTTTTTATTCTGGTCACAGTGTTTCTCAAAGTGCAATGCAATGGTGTTCATAACGATGAGGCGGCGGATGTGCTGAATCATTCCAATATCGACGATTCCAACAATTCCTCAGACCCAAATCGGAATGCAGGTGGTGAGTCTTTTTGGAAACCCCTTTTTTGAGTTTTTTATAGTTGATAGTGCTTCGAAACTACTTCTGAAGCAGATAGAAAATTAGCCTGGTCCAGACATTTTCAAAATTCTTCCTCGTGTTAGATACCCTCTTGAAACATTTTCAATCTTCAGCCTCTTTTCCGAATGTTTGCTCAAACAAAAAATACTGCAAATTATTAGTTTTTTTCAGTTTTTTCACCCTCCTGACATCACTTCGAATGTAAACTTCTTTTTATGCAAAATTTATTTGAATACAAAACTCAAGGCCCAAATCGGGTGGCCTCCCGAGCTTCCTGAACAAGGGAAAATACAACTTTTTTGTGGTGAATTCACGCAAATCAACAAATCTACATTTACATCCAAATCCGCCCCATCCTTTTCTTTGTGATACATGCAGAAAAGCGTCAGCTGTTTGATTCAGTGATCTGGGAAGCAAAAAACCGACTACAACTTTAAAGAAAAACTGACTACGTCTTGATAAATTGCCCCAGAAAATTACCTTTGTTTCCAGAAGAAGCCTTTTTTTTAAATTACTCAAACACAAAAAAGTCTGTCGCATTCTAAACCCGGAAACAATTTGTGCTTTGTTGTAGATTCTAGGACTCTTAAAAATAGACATGCGAACAATGAAAGAGTTTAGCACCTTTAAACATCTTTTTTTCTTTATGCTAGAGTTTCTTTTTATTCCAAAGTACATAACACAATGTCATTTACACTAGCTAATAAACGAGACCAGATGTCTCTTTAGAACAACCATTCCCATCTTGAATGTCATCATTTGAATATATCCCATCCGAGTTTTATGGGAAATCTCTTTCTTCTCAATGGAACAGAAAATAAAGCGAGAAGAAGGTTAAACTATAAAGCCAAAGCTTTCTTTTTCGGGACGCTTTTCCCTTTTCTCACCATAATTTTGGTTTTTTTAATAGGCCGCTCTCTTCTAAACTTGAGAAGAGTGCAGAACGAGGCACTTTGGGAATTCTCAGAAAAAAAGGGCTGCATTGAAATTGATTAGAAAATGTTTAGCTTCCGTCCATGCCCTTCAGATAATATAATTACTATAAAAGCTTGGCTCTTTTTCCTCTTTTTTATTTTCATATATCGTTTTCCTAGGGAAGAAAGAAAAGGAGTCTGCATTTAAATTGAAGCATGAGAAGGTGGAGACTCATTAAAAAGTCAAGTGGTGAGAGCAGGCGAGAAAAAATAAAAAGAAATTTGAAATTGGAAACACCAAAAGCAAATAAAGAAAATTCAAAAACACGACAAAAGTTTTCAGAGCAAGGCGACACCATGGGAGAGGACGAAGATCGGCTGGTCATAGATCTCTTTCGAGAGTACAACTTCTTGATTAGGCCTGTTAGGAATGTGAGCAGCCCTCCTGTGGTAGTGGACTTTGGAGTGGCCATGATCCTCTTGATCAATGTAGACGAGAAGAATCAGATTCTACAAACCAACGTCTGGTTGACAATGAAGTGGAATGATTTTCAGCTAGCTTGGAATCCAGCAGAATATGGTTAGAAATGACCGTCTCGGAAGTACACTCTCATCTGTTTCAGGCAATATCTCCAACCTTCACGTACCATCTGACAGAGTATGGCTTCCAGACATAGTATTGTTCAACAAGTGAGTCACCTGTAATATTTTATTCTGAAAATATCCTTCCCATTTTTACAAAGATTCAAGATCTGTGTAGACCTTAGACCCTGAATGTTTTCAAAAATTTCATTTTGTGTCTCCAGCGTAGTAATGTGGAAAACACAAATCAAATCGTCTCGATTTGCTCCTTGTTTCCGCAGTTTTGAGCCGACAAGTGATGATGAGCCAACGAGACTGACATTCCTTTTATTTTCTCTTTTATTCTTTTTATCAAATTTGTCGATTTGGATTTTTCTCTTGCGAAGACCTAACGCGAGAGTTTTAAAATTTGTAAACTGGGGCTGTAGCACAAACAGCAAGTAAAAAACTTTTATCTTTTTCAAAATCTGGTCAACTAGGGTCTCTGAACTTCAACAAAAAAAGATGAAAAGACAACGTTGCGACGCAATTAAGGGTGACGATTGATGCTCCAAACATACACGAGAGACTTGTCTTCCATGAAAAATATAAAAATGGGTACAAAAAAAAGAAATAAGATCCTCCGGAAAGAAAGAAATAATAGCTCATTGTTACATTTCAACTCATCCCCTGTTTTGTTTTCTTAACTAAAAAAGTGAGAAGCTAAAAAGATTCCCACACACCATGAAAAATAACTAGTTTTTGGCAATAGATACTCGCCTTAGACCCTATTGATGAAAAATGACCTGAAGTCGTTTTTTTTTATGTTTGGGTGGCCATCACTTGCTTTATTTTCAGCCGCCCATTTCTAAAAGCGAGAGAGGTTGTGAGGAAAGAGAGTAAAAGTGTAAAATAGGATTATATTCTAGACAGAAGATAATTAAATCGGCATACTTGATACTTTTGACGAGAGCTTGAAATATTGCTGCTCTTCATGGGATCTTCCTTGAAGATGTCCCACAACAAGCAAATGAAATAGTGGGGAAAACAAAAACAGAAAGAGATAAATAATAGCCAAAGATTAATTGAATTGACACAATACATTTCTCAATTGAGAACACCATCAAAGTTGCTATGCCTAACATACAAATTTAGACTCGCCTTCTATTCTAATTTTCAGGTTATCTAATTTCAAACAAGTCCTTGAAAAATTAGGTTTAAGACAATACGCATACACTTCTTGTTTTTTAACTGTCCCAGACACCTTTCTTTCCGAGAACCTCGTTTTCCCTAGCCAAAAAGTGAATTTTGTTGACATTGTTTTTCTAGGAACACCATATCCTCTTTTGCATACTAATATTGGGAATTTGCAGCGCCGACGGAAACTATGAAGTCTCTTTCAAGTCCAATGTTTTTGTGGACCACCATGGGGATGTCACGTGGGTTCCACCTGCAATGTTTAAGAGCAGTTGTCGCATTGACGTGGAGTGGTGAGTATTTATTTTCTAAAAATCAACTCATTATCATTCCGCCTACCCTTGCGAAAAACGTCATTTTCAAATTATTCAGGTTTCCATTCGATGAACAATGCTGCACTTTGGTGTTTGGGTCATGGACCTATAATTCCGAAGAAGTCAGGTTACATTGGTACAATAACATTCAAGCTGTACAATTGCACGATTACTCATACTCTGGCATCTGGGATGTTATTGGTAACTATTAAAAGAGTCTCTTTTTGATAATTTTAGCAAAATTACAGATGTACCTGGACAACTAGTGCATAAACCAGATTTAAAAGAGAACAAAATGGTTTTCAACGTGGTGATACGGCGGAAAACGTTATTCTACACCGTCATCCTTATCATCCCAACTGTCCTCATGGCATTTTTGTCCGTTATGGCATTTTATCTTCCAGTGGATTCTGGAGAAAAAGTCTCACTGACCATTTCTCTACTTCTCGCTCTTGTTGTGTTCTTGCTGTTGGTTTCGAAAGTAAGGAATTTAAACCCTGCAAACTTCAAGAGGTTCGTAATTTTGCAGATCTTGCCACCTACTTCAAATATTCCACTTATGGGAAAATACCTCTTACTTGCATTTGTACTCAACATTGTTGCAGTTGTGGTAAGAGATCAGATATCAATCACGCGGCATGAAATTTTGAATTTTGTCTTTTTTCAGGGAACAGTGGTAATTGTGAACATTTACTTTCGAAGTGCACTTTCTCACAAAATGCCCACATGGGTCAAAAAAGTGTTTCTAGAGTTTCTACCTCATTTGCTGGTTATGAAACGGCCAGAAAGGATACCAATATTCAATGGGTACTTTGTTGAGGAGTATTGTGCATCTGAGATTTTTGATGCGAGTGAGTACTCCAACAATTAATTTAAAAAGTCATTTTCAATTTTTTTAAGGTCTGGTGATGCCGTCAATGACAGCAACAATGCTTCCGTTCTTGCAAGTGACATCGAATCTGAACAAAGAAGCCAGTTCCGCGAGCTCCGGACAATCTTCCGAGCATCATGAGAATTGCTCAAAATGGAAGAAACGATTATCAATAAGAATGTCGCGGCGGAGAGCTCCTAGAGTAATATTTTCATTGTTACTGTAGTAAACTCTAAGAAAATGTGTTTCAGGCAAGATTGGATGATGATGGTGAAGACATTGTGGACGACTCCAATGGAAACCACGTGGATTCATTGCAAGAAAAAATCAGCAAAGAAATGAAAACGACAGTAGAAGCCATTGCATACATTGCGGAGCATATGAAACGAGAAATGAGTTTGAAAAAAGTAAACTTTTCAATTTTCGATTGTTTTTTAAATTAGTGATTTCTCAGATGCGAGACGATTGGAAGTATGTGGCAATGGTATTGGATAGGCTGATCTTGCTGATTTTCTTTGGGGTGACACTAGGAGGAACATTAGGAATAATATGTTCAGGTAACTTATAAGACTTTAAATTTTTAAAACATGTTCTATAATTTCAGCACCTCACGTATTTGACTTTGTTGACCAGGAGGCTATCATCAACAAGCTGAATGCAAGATATCTACCTTCAGATATGTACTCATAGACGTTTATATTTTTGCAAAATCTTTAGGCCAACACTATTAATAATGACCTTCTGTTTTCTTTTTCTTTTGGGTAGATGTTAAATGTTTTATTCTGGTTACCATTTGTACTGGTTTGATGTTCAACTTTTCATTTCATTTCCTGAAACTTGCTCTTTCTGACCCCTTTTCTTTCAACCAAATAAACTCATCTATGTAATTCAATTTCCCGCCCGTGTCAAGTGCAAATTGAAAAACCGACGACACCACTTCAAAATCACTTGCCTTGTCTGCTACCGACACTAAACGATTTGTGAATCCCCATAAGGACTCCCGGATTCTGTTTTCTTCCCAGGGTGGTGCTTCAATTCAGTCAGCGGACGAGAGCAGTATCCTAATGAAATGTAAACACACAATTTTGGCAGTTGTTGGTGCTAGTCTCCACTAACTCATATCTTTTATTCATTTAAAAAGCGAAGAAAATGTGTTGGTGGTTTCGTTTCTCTATAACGATTATTTTAGTACCAGGTAATGTTATCTTTTTGTTTTGAACTTCAAGATATTTGAATTTCAGTCATACTCACATATCCGAATTCTGCCGAAGAACGTCTTTTGTCATATATTTTTGATGGGTACAATTCACTTATTAGACCAGTTCTGAATGCATCATCACCTCCAATAGAGGTAGAATCAGCATAATTTTTTAGTTCAAAAAAAAATTATTTCCAGGTATTTTTTAGTTTAGCATTTGTCTTGCTCATCAATGTGGATGAGAAAAACCAAATTATGCAAACTAACGTTTGGCCTACAATGAAATGGAACGACTATCAAATGCAATGGGATCCTAGAGAATTTGATGGAATCAAAACTATCCGTGTTCCACCAGATAAAGTTTGGCTTCCAGACATTGTCTTGTTCAACAAGTGAGACCTCCCCTCCCTTTCAAAATATCAGCAATCATCTCATTTTCAGCGCTGACGGTAACTATCTAGTCTCTTTCTATTCCAATGTAGTCGTTGAGCATACTGGTGACATGCTTTGGGTTCCGCCGGCAGTTTATAAAAGCAGCTGTCTGATTGATGTTGAATTTTTCCCGTTTGATGGTGAGAACAGATACGAAAAAATGGACTTGACAATGAATCGAAACTTGTCTATCACGACGGAAAATCTTTTCAGAGCAAGTGTGCTCACTCACTTTTGGCTCGTGGACTTTTCGAAAGGACGAGTTGCAGTTGTCCTATCTCTCCGGCAAACGACATGTTAGTCTAGTTTTGTGGTTGAGGGAAATATAAAGAAATTTCAAGTACTGAATTTTTGAATGGACCCATTTCGGGATTTTTCCAGGTGGAATTAAACGACTATTTACCATCGGGAGTTTGGGATTTAATGGATGCTCCAGGACTGTTGATAGATGAAAGATCCAAAATTTCATATCAAATCAAGATAAGGAGAAAGGCTCTATTCTACACCGTAATTCTGATCATGCCAACTGTTTTAATGGCTTTTTTGTCCATGATGGTGTTCTATCTTCCTGCAGAGTCCAGTGAGAAAATTACTCTGGCAATCAGTATTTTGTTGGCTTTAGTGGTTTTCTTGCTTGTTGTGTCAAAGGTATCTAGTCATACGATTCGTGAGATTTCTACTTTTTCAAATTTAGATCCTACCACCAACAAGCTCAACAATTCCACTAATGGCCAAATATCTCCTGATGACATTCATAATGAATATGATCACTATAATGGTAAGTTCTCGGGTAAAAAATTTGAAAAAAATTGGGCTTTTGTCGGTCCTCAGATCATTATGGTCCTTAGAATTTTCGGATGGGTTTGAATCGGTCTTTAATTTTTTTTTCTTGAATAATTTTCTGGTTCTCCATTTTTTCATTTCCTCTAATCTTTTGTTCCTTAATTTTTCAGTTCCTAAATTTCTAGATTCTTGGTTTTTCAATCATCTGGTCTTAGAAAAAAAAAATATGAAGAACCTAAAATGCTAACAAACTAATAAAATCTAAATGCTAATACCTCTCAAATCATAAATTCTTAAGTCCATGAATTCTAAGGACCGAGAAAAACAAAGGAAAATGGAGAATAATGGACCAGAATAATTCAATATTTACGTATTCTATGATTCAGGTGTCCGTTATAATCATTAATGTTTACTTCCGTGGTCCCGCCACACACATCATGCCGTCATGGGTCAAAACTGTTTTTCTAAAGGTAATTTTGCCTTTCATCAATTGAACCAATTCTTGTTATAGTGTCTTCCTGTCCTTTTTGTGATGCGACGACCGGAGAGCACTGAAAAGGAATTAGCCAAGATGAAACGAGAGAAACGTGAGAGGAGAAGCATGAAATCCGCACTGAAGACATTCTTTAAGAGGGCTGAGGCGAAACAAGTGAGTTTTGTGCCGATATTTTAGTTCATCATTGTTTTTTTTTCAGATTGATGACCAATCAAAGCAAGCGTTGATTAATAAAGATGTAAGTCTAGGTAGATTGATTACTTTCGATGTAATACTGTTTTCCAGAGAACCGGCTCTTCCGAAGAGAAACTTTCATCTGACGCGAAGAAAGCCATCGAGGCTATCGAATACATCACCACTCACCTTACACACGACAACGCCTTTAAACGGGTCAGTGTCAAGATAAAAAAGATCATAGAACATGAAAAAAGGCGATTGAAAAACATATCATCTTCTTGCCCTCTTTTATTCACCGAACTCTTTCCAGCAACGTGAAGAATGGAAGTTTGTCTCTGTGGTGATTGATCGATTACTTCTCTATCTTTTTTTCGGAGGTGATTGAATTTTGATCTTGACTTATCAACCATTTTGTTTCAGTTACCACAGGTGGAACTATGGGGATATTGTTATCGGCGCCCAATGTATTCGAACATGTCAACCAAACAGCGGTTATTGAAAGGTTGAAGCAACAAGCCGCAGAAGAAATGTTGAATTCTTGAACATCTTTTGACCGTTTTTTTTCTATTCTTCGAAAATAAAGAGACAGTTTTCTTTCATTCTTTCTTTCCCTGTTGTGTCCTGATTTGTTCAATTGATCAAATGAAATCGGCCGAAGCCCTTTCGAAAGAAAAAGTCACCAAGATTATGACGTGATCTATTTTGTGTATCACTGTCATTGGCCTGTTTTAACAATTATGTACTTCCTTCGTTTCGATAGTCTTTCTTTCTTATATAATTTCGTTATCGTCAATTTTTTTCTCGATTCGAGAGATGTCAGAAACACGTTGATATGCCGAATAACCGATTTTGGTTGTTGTTCCTTGTTGATAATTATTAGTATAAAAACGGTGAATGACAGTGTTCTTATTCCTTGCTGTTCAATTTTTCTATTATTTTTTTTTCAAAGTTTGCATTGATTTCCAGATGACACCTTTTCTGTTGTTTCTCATTGCATTAACTGGTGTGGTGGAGGGGCAGGGATGGCGACCATGGGATCGGTTCAACCATGTTAGCAACTTTGGAACCTGGGGAGGTGGTGGATGGGACAATAGAAACCGAAACCCGTCTCCAGAACCCAGAAATATCCCTCCACCGGTCCCACCACCAGGTTTCCATGGTGGTCCTCGGTTTGGAGGTAATATAATTAAAATAACGGAAATCATCGATATTGATAAGAAGGCTGGAGATATTTTGTCGGATTTCAAGGTGAGCTGAAACTAAACATGTTATTTCGTAGTGTATGTTTTGTTTAGGACTTCCACAAGAAACATAAAAAGCTGGGACGTAAAGAATGGCATAAAAATGTTAAACAATTCTGTCACAGATTCCCAGGACATCCAAATTGCAGGTATTTCTTTTTTCAAAACGGCCGAAATAACAGTTTGTGACATTGTGATATCAATTTGTGATTTGTGAGAATCTTTGAATTCAAGACTGTGATTTCTTTCAGACGAGGAAAAATCCCAGATCAAAAGGAACTTGAAGAAATGATTGGGCAGTTCAATAAAGGAGGAATTGGTAGATTCTTGAAACGAGTTCCAAAGTGAGTTTAGTAAATCTCTCATCGGTTTTTCAAAATTATAATTTTAGAGTTTACATTGAAGACCCACTGGCTCGAGTTGACCCAAAACTGAAGGAACTTCTTGAAAACACAAGTCGCGGTTTTGGACATTTGAATGCAGAAAACGTGAATAAATTAAGAGTGAGTTTTATTACATATATTTTATTTATTAGACGGTGCTTGTTCAGGACATCTGTAAAAGAAGAAAGTGTAGAGAGCAACCAGAATCTGCTAAGAAGACAAGAGAGTATTTTACACAAAAGGTAATCATGGAAAATCAATTATAATCAAATTCACAAAATTTTTCAGCTAGCCGATTTCGAAACCAAGATTGCTGGAAGAGATAAAACTGATTCTGTCCAACTCAGATTTGATAGAACCCTCCAGATTAAGGAAGCTCTTCTGGAAAAAGGAAATTTGACAGCAGACATTGCGCCTGTAGATAACGGAGTTTATGACTTGGACACTATGTTGACTGAAGAGCAAGCCAATATTCTGCTCAATGAGTTGAACAAGGCAGGAGTTGGAAGTGATGAGATCCCATTGCCAGAAGCAGATGATGATAGTGATGATGACAATGATGCTTCGAACTCTACAGATTCGGCTACAGCTGCTCCTGGAGCACCTGCTCGGCATAGGAAGTAAGAATTGACATACTGAGGTTTGAGATTATATGGTTGTGTTTCAGGTCGGCATTATATTTTGAAGGAAACCTGATCAAAAAGTGGGATCCTAGCTCTCCGATCAGATATGTACTTGATAGCTCTCTAGGTCAGTCTCTGAGTACAACTTCCTGAATTAGGGACCATATCGCCAATATTTAATTTTCAGAAAACCTCGACAAGAATGATGTGCGTGCAGCAATATACGAAATCGAGAAAAATACGTGTATTCGATTTAAAGAACTTGCCTCACCCCCAACCGGATCTCATATTGTCTATTATAAAGTAGACAGCCCGACTTTGTAGGTCCTTACTTTTATTTAATCATTTGACTGTCAGTTTTCAGCTGTGGTTTGTCATACGTGGGACGTACCGACCCAGCCAACCCAATTTATTTAAGTTTTGGATGTGAAAATGTGAGCTGCCGATTTTTTACAAAAAAGTTTCAACTATATGGTTCTAGAACAAGGGAGTTGCTATTCATGAAACTATGCATGCCCTCGGAGTTGCTCATCAACACCTTCGAAATGATCGTGATCAGTTTATCACTATCAATTGGAGCAATATCGATCCACAGCAGTATGATGCGTTTGTAGTGGTAGATTCGAAACTCTACACGTCGTAAGCTCCAAAAAAGCAATGAAAATATTTCAATTCATTCTCTAGATATGGAGTCAAATATGCCTATGACAGTATCATGCACTACAACGGTTACACTGCTGCTCAAAACATTGCCATTCCTACCATGAATCCGAAAACCAACTCTGCTACTAATCTCCAAATCCTTGGGCAGCGTCAAAAAATGGGAGCAACGGATATTGAGTTACTCAAGAAAATGTACTGCCAACCAAACTGCGAGGATAAAAATGTATACTGTGGAGCGTGGGCTCTCAAGGACTTGTGCAAAAACCCGGGACATGACCAGTATATGGCCGCCAACTGCAGAAAGAGTTGCAATTTGTGCGCTCTTGGTGGATAATATTTTAAGTAAAAATAATAATCATTTAAATAAAGATTTTCATTTCTCTACATATATCCATTATTAATTCTAGGAGTGTGAGCAATGGATTGGAGCCATGGTGCGTCCATTTTTAGTGTGCGATGAAATCAAAACCAGGAATGTCCTGAAAAATCGCTTTCGTCAGTTTCAATAGGTGATTTGAATAGGTTACCTTCCAATAATCAATGATTTCACATTCCACAAGGCAGTAAATCGTCTGAAACTATTATCGGTATAAATCTGGGTGTTTGGGTTCGGTTACCAAGTAAGCAATAAAAAAGAGATATAAAATTGTGACCGGTGCCATGATAACAAAAATGTACCACTGGGTACCCAAGTACTGTTCAATGGTTTGGACGATGAAGTATATGTTAACTCCAATCGTGACTACACCGCAAATGATAGAAAAGTATTGAGTTCCTCTGAAATTGTGAAATCATCTGACTTTTAGACTTTTATTAAAGTTACTTGGAATTCCTAAAATTGTGCATAATCCTTTCACTTGATGTGAAAGTGATCATTGGGATGAGAGCAAATGGAAGTTGCACCATTTGGACACAATTCAAAAAGTCGTTCATTCCTAAAAACTATAATCCAGCAAGCTCAAATCCCTGGGTGAATGTACCTGTCAAGTTTTTGATTCCGTTTGCTTTGATGCAGAGGATCAGAGTTGGTGTGATAGCAATCGACCGAGTGATAAGAACTCTCTTCCATTTTGGCCATTGGATCTTGACAAATCCTTCCATAACAAATTGCCCTGTATACGTCCCAGTCATGGTTGAAGATTGGCCGGCCGCAAACAATCCAATACCCCAGATAATCATAGCGACTAATCCAAATTGGCATCCTAAGTAAATTCCTCCCTAGAAAATATGTTTTCAAATCCTCCAAAACTTCGGGACTCTCACTTGAAAAAGATCGACTCCTGTGTTGTTTTGAAAAATGTTGGAATCCGGAATATCATTGTGCGTCCGGCACATCAAACTCTGATATGATTTTTGATTTTTGACGTTACTCATCAAATAATATTCTCACCACATCTTCATTTGTTTTTTGATAGAGTCCACGCGCAAAAACCGAGAGAACAAACAGATTTATAAAAAAACTGACGAACAGCGCAATCGCAGATTCAATTGAAAAATATTTGTTCGCCTCGGCAATTCGTTTCGGGTTGGTACGATCGATTTTTCGTGACTAAAAATTACCAAAAACACAATATGATGATTTTTTGATCACACTTACTTTCACTAAAGCTGAGTGCAAATAAAAATTGTGAGGCATTATCACGGCGCCAAAAATGGAAATTCCTGTTATGATCTCTTGTTGTCCACAACCACTGCACCACGGAATCACTGTCCCTTTCACAACTTCGACGAGATCTGGTTTCATCACAATAAACTGAAAGACTGAAAATATAGAAAAGCATACAATTGGAATCAAACTTCATAACCAAATGTGACAACCATTATAGAAATCAAGGCAACAAATAAAAACTCCAGTTTTCGAACACCATATCTGTCTATGAATAAAAATGTGAATGTATCCAGAATTGTAATGAGTACTCCGAAAAGTAGTGGTATCCTGAACGAACAAATTTAAAATCCCAAATAATTTTTAAAAATATGAATCACTGACTTTCCTTTTGACAAAAGATATATCGCGATTGCTGTTCCGATCACTTCTTGCATATCACTGCACACAATTGCAACCTCAATCATCAACCACAAAACAATTCTTGGAATCAAAGGGTAGTAGTCATGAGCAATCTGAAACTACCGTAATCTCCTCTCTACCAGTGTTTAAAACGCTCACCTCTGCCATATGCCTGTTACTCACTACTCCCAATCTAGCTGACATTCTCTGAAGTAGCATTCCAATTATATGGGAAACCAAAAGTACCCAAAGAAGCCGGTACTCAGCTTGAGCGCCAGCTTGCAGGTCACTTTCAATGTTTCCAGGATCCAAGTAAGCAATGCTCATCAAAAATCCGGGACCAGTGAATGCCCAGAGTTTCCTCCACGAAATCTAAGCATCCTGAACATTCAAATTGAGGAGCGAATTTGTAATAAAAAAATTACCTCATCATCATCTGGAATATCAACAGCGATATCATCATTAAACGTCTTCTCTTCCAATGCTGCTGCATTTTGAGCATATGACGGCTGTGTAAGATCCGGAATTTCAGAAATAGCTAAAATAGACATTCTGAAAAGTAAAAATTTAAAATGAAACTTCTCGATAAAATTGTGTTTTATCTTCTTGACAATGTCATTTTTATACAGTTCCTTTGTTTTTTTCATTTTTACCACAAAATATCAAAACAAGATCTTTTGAGCAAATACGATTTGACTGAGAGAATTCCTTCCTCTGCTTATCATGTTTGAAAAACAACACCGTTGTTATGATATAGGTGTTTATTTTGTTTCAGAATACGGTATTCTCAATAAGCATCCGCTTTCAAAAAAAGTGACCACAGCAGAAAACAAAATGCTTTCGTATTTTCAACTTCAGGCCAAAGGTGTTTAGCATGGCCTTTTGGGAACGTTTCAGAATGTCGAAAATTCAGAATTGCTGAACCTCGAAAAAAATTCAAAATATCACGATTTAAAAAAAATTAAAGTTTTGGAAAATTTCGGTTTCAAATATTTCGAAATTTCTGAATCCCATTCCTATCAGAAAATTTCTTTTAAAAATTTTCAAACAGATATCAAAAATTCAAAAAAACTGAAGGCTATTCCGCTCAAGATCCTCAAGGAAACTTTTTTCCGTGCGTCTTTGACATATCGTATTTCAAACAACTTTTCCGAAAAAAAATTCGGATCGGAATTCGACTCTGAAAATGCTTGAAATCTATTTTTTTGAATATCTATTTCTTTTCCGATTATCCCTTATTTCCGCTAATCAGTCGTATATAATAATAATTTATTAGAACGACTGAAATCAAATTTCGATTCGAAACAAGTGAATTGTGACACCGTATGGACAGACAGATGAAGTGAAATTGAGACAAGAAAAAAAGTACACTAGCATTATTATGCTAAATCAGTTTTGAAATCCCGGATTGTCATGAGCCGCGCCTTCTTCGACCGCTAACCACGGCGCGTCATTTTCGTAAGATTTGTTGAAGCTGAATCCTCGGATGGTTACAGTATCGGGGATGACTTCGCATGACACAAGACAATAGATAGCCTGAAAATGTTTGATTTATATGGCTTCACAAGGTTTTCATTAGAACAAACCAGATAAAGCACGAAGAGCACGTAGAAAACGGTGACTATTGCCAGAACCATTATCACATACCACTCGGTTCCCAATCTAGAGGATACGTAGTCAAAAATAAAGTACACGTTGATGGATAGAATTATTGCAGAGGTGGTAAGGGCAAAAATTTGGAACAACCTGCAAAAAATAGTTGTTTTTATAGCAGGTCTTTGATTGATGAGCTCACTTAGAACTTCTGAAGTCATGCATAATTTTGCGGCTTGAGGTGAATGTGATGATTGGGATGAGAGCGAAAGGGAGTTGAATCATTTGAACACAGTTCAAAAAGTCATTCATTCCTAAAAGTTATCTTATTTTAAGGATCACTGTCGTGTGCACTGTACCTGTCAAATTTTGCACTCCTTGAGAATAAAAGGTCAGGAAGAGGGTTGGAGTGATTGCTATTGCTCGCGTGATAAGGACTCTTTTCCATTTGGGCCATTCAATTCTCACAAATCCTTCCATCACAAACTGTCCAGTGTAGGTTCCTGTCATCGTTGATGATTGACCAGCTGCGAAGATTCCGATTCCCCAGATGAACATGGCAATGGCTCCAAATTGACAACCGAGATAGATTCCGCCCTGGAAATTTGAAAAATGGAGTTTGTCAATTATATTTTGAAACTCAATCATCTCAAGAGAGCTACTCACTTTATAAATATCGACTTCCACGGGATCTGTATTATTCGGGAATATATCGGCATCTGGAATGTCATGTCTCGCAATACACATCTCTCGCTGTAACCTGATTATCAGAAACCATAAATTGATTCGAAAACACATACCACATCAGCATTTGTTTTTTGATACAACCCATGAGCAAATACCGCCACCACAAACAAGTTGATGAAGAAACTTAAGAATAAGGCAATGGCGGATTCAAGAGTGAAGTACTTGTTGGCCTCGGCTACACGGCGACGGTCCTTACGGTCTACTCGACGAGACTGAAAATTATTTTTTAGGTGAGGTTCCACATAAAATGCTACCAACCTTAACCAGTGCCGAGTGAAGATACAAATTGTGTGGCATGATCACTGCTCCAACAACCGATATAGCCTGCATGAGCTCTTCTTTTCCACATCCGTCACACCATGGGACAACTATTCCGGATATCACATCTCCAATTGGTGGTTTCACCACTACGAACTGAAAATTTTCAAGTGAAAAATCATATCCTGCACTTTTTAATCACCTCATAGCCAAAGGAAACTGTCATTGTGAGAATCAAGATTCCAAAAATCAATTCCAGTTTTCGGACTCCATATCTGTCGATGAGCAAAAAGGTGAAAGTGTCCAAGATCGTTATGAAAACTCCCACATACAGTGGAACTCTGAATTTAATTTATACATCTCTGTTTTGGATAGTAAATTGAAATCAAACTCACAATCCTTTCGAGAGCAGAAAAATCGCAATAGCCGTTCCAATGACTTCTTGCATATCACTGCACACAATTGCAATCTCAATCATCAGCCACAAAACGATTCTTGGAAATTTCGGATAGAATTGGAAAGCCACTTCAGCCATGTGTTTTCCACTCACGACTCCAAGTCGTGCGGACATTCTTTGAAGCAACATTCCGATGATATGAGCTGATAGCAATACCCAGAGAAGTTTATACGCAGTTTTGGCACCGGATTGCAGGTCACTTTCAATGTTTCCAGGGTCCAGATAGGCAATGCTCATAAGAAATCCAGGTCCAGTGAATGCCCAAAGTTTTTTGAACGAGAACGCTTTTTCCTGAAATAGCAAAATAGTAAATTTTGTGGATGTGATTTTTCAATATTGCAATTACTGTGAAATTGAAAATCTCTGGCATCTGAGAATTCAAAATCCAATGTTTTTTGTTTCGATAAAGAGCTATTTTCGAAAAAAGTTTGGTTTTTCGATGAAAAACAGATTCTTTTTCAGAAAAATTTTCAGGCGCAAGTGTTTTTTTTTTCAATTCTACAGTACTCGCAAATTTTAATTTCTATATCATTTAGAACCAATTTACCAGATCATCCATTGGAATATCAACCTTTTCCTGGCTCTCCGCATCCTCTTCCAAAAGATCCTGTCCAACTTGTTCGTTTTCCGTCACTGCCCATGGTTCTGCCTCCGGTTCCACCGCGGCATCGTTATGAGACGATGCCATACAAAATTCACTGGCTGAAAATTAGTAATACAATCTTATTTCAAAGAATAAATTGTCTTGTTCAAAAAACAATATCAGTCACATTCGTCGTTTTGAAAACAAACGAAAAGCTGCTGGTCTTGATGATAAGAAATGGAAAAATAGAAAATCAAAGGAGAAAAGAATCAATTGTTTCTATGTTGGGGTTTGGCAGAAAAGGACAGTGTGAGAAGATGAGGATGCAAAATCAATACAGGAGAAATTCTTTCCTCTGGGAAAACGGACATTGTGAGAAGGAAACTTGTATTATTTGAATAAGGAATTCAACTTATTGTTAAGCAACTTATTGCTCACCTATTTGTCACAATCTTATGACTTTTTTGATTGTAGCTGTAAACAGCAAAAACCACACAATGAAAAAAAATGTGGGTTTTTTCTTTATGAAACATAAAATGACAAGGAATGGCGAACGCGCGCGCACACACCCCACAATAGAACACTGAACGTTTTGGCATTCTTACAGATGTGCAGATAGAAGGAAATAGTGCGTCGTACAGTGTTTTGTCTATGGAGGTTTAGAGAAAACCAGAAAATCTATAAGTAAAAATTTTATAGGGGTCTTTATAGATATTTTTAATTTTTATTACCTATCGTCCTATCCCCAATGGAAATCTTGCAAAAAAAACAAAACTATAAAAAACTATGCTACGTAAAATGTATTAGTATGATTTTAAACAAATTTTTAGAACAATGATTATCACAAAATAGAAATTTATTGACTAGGAGTTTTGCATAAAATGCGTAAGGACTTTTACAGAATGGCAAGTTTAAAGATCAAAAATACATAAAAATATTGTAAGAGAAAAAGAAGAGTTCAATTTAGACTTTTTTGGTATATAGTCGATGAATAAACAAATTAACTAAAACAAAAATGAAAATTCTCTACAAATCAGAAAATCAAAAAATTGAATGTTAGTCAAGAACCTCTAGTTTGATGCCTTTGGCAATGGAGAGTATCCAAAGTTCAGTCTAAGCTGTTCAAAGAAGATAAATGTGAGAACGGTATGTGGAGCGAGACGAGCCCACGCCGGAATAAATCCCTTGAAGAAACCCATTGGGCCGAGTTTGGCAGTGAACATGAAACAGTCAAGGATTCCCTGAAAAAAAACCCATTTTTGACGGAACGTTTGCAGCAAAGGGCGGCTTTTTATGAGACCAGTCTTTACCTTGAACTCTCCGGGGGCGGCATTCATCATTCGGGTCTTCATCACATCCAATGGTTGAGTCATGACAGTCGCAACACTTGCCTGAAAAAACTAATTCAGCTGAGTTGTTTACGCGTTGATTTTGGTGCTGATCTAGGTGTATTTTCGTGACACTGATGTGTAGAACAACAACAAATAAGTGCTGAGCTGTTTGTTGTTTGACTTTTTTTTTCAACTGTTCAGTTAACATACCGCACTGATGGAACTGGCGAAATGAGTCTGCAAGTTATCCTCAGCGACTCCAGAAGAAATGAGAGTCTGCTTGATTTGATCGTAAAACGAGAGTTGTCCGATGGTCATGAGGATAGCACGAGATGTAGCCATAGTGCAACCTGAAAATTGATTTTTTAGGACGCGAGTAAGTTTTCGTTGATTTAGGAGCTTGGATTGGTAGTCATTCGATCTAGAAAGACGTGAAGTAACCGCTCTCTGTCAACATTTGCCAAATTCATTTCGAGTTCTGGAAGTTGTATCAAAAGAAGCTTAACTGGCAAAGTATTTCATATTACGGTTAACATTTTGTCAGTTGACCACTTTTTATTGCTTTAACGATGAATTTTGAAAATGGGCTCAAATTGGACGATTATAGGGCGTTTTTATCAGATATTTTACGGTAAGCACTTTTTCACTTAGACACAACAGAAACCATTAGGCAACAAAATAGCGCTGGATTTTCGAGCCGGATTGAGAATTTAAAAGCTGATTTCATTTTTTTTTTAGAATTCGAAGAGTTAGGAAAGCTTTTGCTATTGCTTTCCTCCTATCAAGACGGGTATCTCCACATATTTTTCCACCTCCCAATAATATAAAGACTCACCATTGAACATTTTCATGAATCCCTCTTCTCTGGTGATTCTAACCAGTCCATCCAAGGCGTGCTTGTAGTTTCTACGCTCCGCTGGTGGCAGCTTGGAGTCGTTTTGCATTCTGACGTTCACCAAATCTCCTGGCGTACCGACCATTCCTCCGCACGCTCCAGCAAAACCGGCGAGCAAAGCTTTTTGGTAGAAAGGAAGAGGTTGATCTGAAAAATATAGATTACTGGTGGGCAGCCGGGAATAATTTTGTCCTATGTAAGATTTTCCGACTACGAAGCTATCAAATACTGCACAACCCCGTAGTAAATCTATATATTTCAGCTCAAGATTTGCGGCTCTCTACAAATTGAGCACTTTTCATTTTCGATTCTTGCAGTCATAAAACGCACCTTGAGGGAGCTGCTTCTTAACCGTCTCATAAATTCCAAATCGTGTCGTCGAGTAGGTGAGCTGACGAAGCACCGATGCGGATACTCCGTTGTAGAACGCAAAGAATCCGTCGTTCTTGTAGATTTTTAGAGACAGTTGTCCAATAGTGAGCTTTCCTTGTTGTTGGGTTTGAAGTTGAACCTGAAAATGTTATCGGGTTATGTTTAATTTCAATTTTTACCTAATACTTTCAAGAGATCAAGTGGGTGAGTACAAACAGCAGCCATCGCTCCGGCAACTCCTCCGAAATACCATCTTCCAAGCCGTTTCGTTTTGTCCTCGGTCATCTGAATCCTTTATTAATAGAATGTAAAATTATATATGTTTGATGGTAAAAAAAGAGGTAAATAAAATGGTAGACAACCAAAAACAGGAAACACAGAAAAATGGTAATAAATGAAGCACAACGAGAAATTTTTTTGCAACCAGTAGAGACAAAAGGAATCGTAAGATCAATTCGGTGTCGAGTTCTGTCGATGTAGAGGTTTGTTAAAGCAAAAATAAATAAATGAACTAATAAGTCAATGAGTATCCTAGTAAACATGAAGAGGTACAAAAAAGGTTTCAATCATCAATAGCGTGGTTATGGTAATGTGGATATAGAACTATATGGATTCTTCTGATGAGCATCATTCCAACGAAGATGACGGTTGTATAGAAAAGGTCGTTTCCTCCAGTCAGGCGATGGTATTGCTTGAGGTACAATCCAAGCGGTCCATTAATGAATTGCGACTTCTTTTTAATGATGATATTGTGTTCAGTGAGGTATTTCTGTAGCGCTTCGTTTCCTTTGTTGAACGCTGGCATGTATTCTTCTTGGAAATCGCGTGTCCACCAGTTTCTGCAAATAACTTTTTGTAACTTTTTGAAAAAGGTAATTTGATTTGAGGGAAAACCTCTCATAATAGCTATCGGTCAAGATTATTTTCAGAAACAGCGGGCTCTCGAATAGTTCGCTCATGAGTTAAGTTCTCAGAAAGGCGTTTATGAGCACAATATTGAGCAAAAATGCCCTAATATCATAACAAATTATATGACTTACTTATCATCCATCTTTGCATAATGATACATGTAGAGCTTAGCGCGTACGAACTTCATTGGTTCCGATCGATTTTTAAATGGGTAATCCTCAATCAAGCCGACAACTTCTGTGGTGTTCTGCATTAAATGATAAACTAGCGATAAGAAGAACGGATTTTGTTGGTAAGTTCCATGAGCAGCATAATGCATTTGAACATCAAGTCTTGGGTGTCCAGGAGACACGAATTGTGGACGCTTAGACAGAAGTCCGGGTTTCACTTTGAATCCTATTTCCTTCCATGGTCCTTCCACTTGATGCGATCCTTCGATCACAATCTCTGGACGTCCGAATTTGCCAGTAGTCCTGAAACACACGACAAATTTCATATACACTTTTCAAAGAACCAACTCACTGTCTATATGAACCGTAGGAGTTAGCAACTCCCCATTTGTTGGCTGCTGCGTAGTATGTCATAATGATTGGATTTTCGTTGGTCTTCGTAGCAAGTTTTTCGTCGAGACGAAGTAACGGTATAAAGCCGTACACGCTAAGAATGACTACAGTACTAGCGACAAACGCCACATGGAACATTTTCGAGAATTTGTCGGTCGAGAGGCAACTTCTGAAACCTCACAAACGTGATATTTCATCGAATAATTCTATACTCACTGCAAAATGGCCCGTAGAATCGTAACAGCTAGCATGATTATTATGATGATCACCAATAAGTCGATATAGTATCTCACCAGCTTTTGAAACGATTCATAATTCATATCTGTAGCTCGATAACCATTTGATGTGAATCGGGCAGTTATTAAAACTCACCCAATGTGAAAGTCGGCCAGCTTCCAACCTCTGTGATTATCTTAAAGCGTCCCTTGTAAATCACATCATATGCGATCCGTGCAAAAATCAACATCGAGAGGAATGGTTCACCTTGTGGGACTCTTGGAATTTCCAACATGGACACCAACAAAACAAGCACGTTGTAATTCATGAATCCATTGTTGGTTGTAAGAATTGTGAGTGTCGTAAGAAGAAACTGAACTTTGCGGTCAAAATTTCTCGTCGAATTGATTACTCACTTGACCAAAGAACATCACGTATCGGACATGGATCACGGGGATCATATACATACAGGGAAGTGCGATCTCAAAGCAGAAGGTGGCCAGTGTTGCGGCTTGTTTGAGAAATGAAGGAAAGTGATGAGCGTAGAACGAGAGTGGAGTTGGCATAGGTTGAGATTCGAAGTGATAGTCAAGTGCTGAAACGCTGGATTTGAATGGGCAGGAATTTGAGAAATAATGAAGCGAGCTCATAGAAGTTAGGTCTGCTATTGCTATTTTCGTATAATCTAAGTTATATAACTACCAAACTGATAACGGTCAGCTCAACATACAGCCCATCCGTCATAGACTGATTTTCAGCATTTCAGCCTAGTTTTCAGAATTGTCGACAAGGCCATTCTGGGACGGCACAAGCCGGCTCATAAATCGCTTCACAACCAAACTTGCCAACAAAACAACATACCAGATGGTAGAACTCGGCAAGCTCTACATCATCTAACAAGAATCGACCAGCACTATAATCAATAACTGGGTGCAGGCCGACATTTAATATCCAGCCCATTGTCGGTCCGGCTGAAAAATGCCGGCCCAAGCCATTACACAACCCTAGAAGCCATTCGATTCTTACTGGAGGTTGTGGAGCCCTCTAAGCTCTATCATCCGATATGATGTTTTACTCACCATTTCAATTTTGAAGCAAGTTTTCAGCCACTCCGTACCTGCCCGGAATAGGCCCGTCGGCAAATATGTTTTTTTTCTATTTTTCTCTATCTTAAGACACGAAAAAACTCTTACCATTCAGGCTCCACCATTCAGGGCACTTGCTTAATAATTTTGTTGCTCCAGTCATGAATGTAACACGGACAATGAGAACGACGATACCAAATATAGCCACCTGATTTTTTTTCATTAAATTAAATCACTTTCTGCAGACCTACAATATCTGCTGGTCCATCTCTGAAAAATGCCAAAATCGCCACGTAGACTGTCGACTCGAGCAGAAAAGCATCCCATTGATAGTACATGAACACGCCACCAGCCTGAAACAAACGATAACTTTCTGTTCAATACGTTCAATGAAGACTTACTTCATAGATAGTCCGATATAGAAAATAAAGGATCAAGAATATCGCCATATTCTGCCATCGTGGCTTGACTATAGAGTAAGCGGATAGACAAATGCCGATGAAACAAAGCACTTGTAGACCGACAGATGGCGAAAGGTGTAAAAGGTTGCAAGTGAAGCGAAGAAGTGGAAGACGGCATTGAAAAATATTTTCTTCTTCTGAAAAGTTGAACGATAAATGTTGTGCTGATGACGCGAAGTGGAGGAGAATTCAACGAAAACCCCCAAATGCGGCGCTATTTTCTCTTATCTCATTTTCTCTCTCAAATGTTCTTTGGCAATAGTAAACAGGGCAGATCGACGACATAAAGAGAATGACAGTTTCTGTTTCTCTAAAAAGAGAGGCAGCTAGGAAGACGTGAAACTTGTCAAAAAACTGTTGGTTTCTTGTTTGTCTCGTCTCGAAAGGAAAGTAGTAGTTCTATGCAATTGCCGAGAAAAGATGCCCAATATAAAAAGAGAGAGAAAGAAGAAATGTTCAAAATTGCACGCACACAGAGGAATTGCTCGCAGACAGGAGTTTATGAACAAAGAGAGATAGAGCATTCGAACTTTTGAATAAAGAAACTGCTCATTTTTCCCCAAATACTTTCGGTCTGCTATCAATTATCGCCGAGTTGGTCAGGCAGGGAAACATAAAAATCTAACCTAAAACAGAAATCGATGCCTTGCCAAGAATATCTTATCAGTGTAAACAGGTTGCAATAAAAACGTAAACATACCACATTCTAGCATCGGGGCTACCGGCTGCAGTCCGCGCTCTCCAAAAAGTCCTGCAAAACAAAAATTTATTCGAAAAAAAAAGAATATCTGCTTACCATGAATTTGTGGGTAAATCGATGAGAACGCAACCAGAATAATAAAAAGTTGCCCATAGAGAATGGTGTATTTGATACGAGACGTACTCAAGATTGGCATCACACTGCAACGTAATTGATTTTAGTGTGCGATAGCAATGGTGAGCGAGAGGATGACCGAAGCAAAGGAAATGGCGAACGAGCAGGCAAACAACAGCTAGAGGTCACCCGGGCGGAGAACGAATGGTGAAGAGGGGAAGCAAGCGCGCTCTGCTGTACCCCTTATGTGTGTGTATTTTCTGGACAGCGGCGGAAACAACTGAGATGTGTTTTGCTGAGCGTAGAAGAGCAAGAAGAGCAGAATGAGTTCTTTTTTAATCAATACAAACATCTTGGAGAAAGGAAGCGTTGTGAGTTTCTGAGATAATGATGCTAATTTTAGGAAAAGAAGATGGAAATCGTGATATCATTAGAGTGAATTTCAGAAAAGCGAAGATGAAATAAAATTGGATTTTTCAGATTGAAAATATATGTTTTGTTTTCAATACCAGTCACCCTCGCTGACTCAATGTTTTTTCGCATCTAAAGGAAAATATCTTTATATCAAAAATTGTTTGTAAAAATCAACAAAAAAGATAAATTAATGCTCAAAAAAAAAACCAACACAGAAATTATGGAGAAGACATGATTGAAAACACAAGAGTACCATCCAGATTCTCTTTCGGACCAAGCGGACGCATATTTTTGTCGTATCTTCCAAAAAATGACTTCTCTGCACGATGTGCACGAGCAATTGCCGCAGCCATGTTGTTTTTCAGAACCGAATACATACGGTGAGCGATTTCTTGTGATGGACCTGATAATCCTGCGTAGTGTTTCAACGAACGGAGGAGCAGGTAGTTGGTGGAAACTGCGATTCCTTGCTCTTCGGAAGTTTGGAGACCAAGTTGAGTGAAATTCTGTAGAAATAGAATTAAAGATATCCAAAAATATAGAAAGCTAAATTACCGGATCGTCTTGCAAGTTCTTCAAAAGTTGTCCCAAATTTTCAGAATCCTCTTTAACAATTCCAAGGATAAGAGGAACATGTGGCCATGGTCCTTTTTCAATCTTCTCCTGAATCAAATCCATTTAAACTGTTCCAAGTAATGTAACACTTACATTCACAATATCTCCGTACTCTTTCTTCTCGTTATTCCAGTAGCTTGCCATAGCTTCGTTAACGTCGGTTGCCCTTTTCTCCCACTTGACACTATTTTTATCATCTCCAACTTTCTTGTAAACATTTTTCATCACTAGACTCATATCTCCCAGCAAACATAAAAGCTCCAAAGAAGATGTGTTTTTACTGGTGGCTGGTTCCAAATCAAAAACACCACGGGAATCTCCTGTCCATTTCACATCTTTCACTCCACCCTTTCCAATAGAATTCTTCCATGTGTTCTCCGCAATGTAGTCTAAATTTTCGATAATGTCCTGATACTCATTGTCAAATTTAGGCTGTAATTTTAAGAGTTTGTTTACCATTGTTGTTTAAAAATGCTCACATTTGACAGAAGCTCTTTGATAACTTGGAACAGCATTGGTGATTGGATAGGGAACAACTCCACTGTACCGAACACAAGACGATTTGCCATATGACCTAGTTCGTTGCTAAGACTGATGTAGGAACGAATCACCTGGAAGTTCAAATTCATTTTTAGTAATGAATTATTGGAAAACTCACTCTCATAGTATCCTCAACATTCAACTTGGACAAAGTCATAATTGCAAAGAATTGCTCATCCAAAGTGGTATAAGTGATACTTATTGGCATCAAAAAGAAGTAATTGACTTCATCAACAAAAAATCCATATTTTCCCATCATTGGAAAATTCTGCACAACACTTAGGCTATTTGCAACCATTGAGTATGCGGCTTTCATGATTTCGATATAAGCAGCAGGGAGATTCTAAAAAAAATACTCTTTATAGGACTGATATTTTTCAATACCTGTTGACCAGTAGACGCAAACCACTCGTCAAACTTTTTGTTCCATCTTTCTTCCAAATTCGCAACATCGTTTTTAATTTCTTCATGATTGCTAAAAGCTTCTTCTTGGGTGCTTGGAAATGTTTGATAGTAGTTTCCGGCAGGAGTCAGAGGAATTTTTATCCATTTCACGCCTCCTGTAAGCTACGTTTAGTGAGAGAGTTCAAATTAAAAACCACACTTCCTGATATCTTGAGTTCCAAGTTCTCTTCAGTTCCGTTGAGGGGTTTCCCATTTGAATTCACATAAAATCCAATTGTCGAATTAGGGTAGATGATATGAGCAATGGTCAAAGAGAACACGTCATCTGAATCATATTGTTACATGGGGTTACTTGGAATAGACTCACATTTCACTGTTAACTTTCCTCCATTGTACACATCTAGCGTTTCATACACTCTTTCTTGGAATGCATTAAGTGGGAATACCTTAATTTGAAGGAAGAATTAAGGTCATATTTTGATATACTAACTTACCGTTCCATTAACCAACACCTCCACAATGAACGATGGATTCCATGGTCTATCGGGTTCCAAGAGTTGTAACAGTGGTCGTTGGCTACTTGGAGCTTGAAGAATTCGAAGCCTCTGTAATTAGACTGTTATGTTATTTGCCCAAAATAATTTCTTACGGTTCCATTTGTTTCTTTTCCACCTAAAAATGGGAACGTTCTATCTTTTTGTACCGGCCGGACATAGGTGTCGTTGTAGAACTGAACTCCAAAACTTGCAACGACAGAGAGAAGAGCGCCTGGAGTCCATTTGTTTCAGTACAAGATGAGATTTTAGAAAATCTTACCTATCGCAAGAAGTGCTGTGAGTTTCACCGGCATACTCAAAGAGTTTACGTTGGAATTCGCGTTGTCGGGTTTTACTGGTTTGTTCTAGAAAAAAGATAATTGTTCAAAATAGCTAGACAGAAAAAAACTCGCATTCTCATTATTAGTGGTAATTGCACTTGATTCTTCAGTTGGACCCGCCTGGGAGTTATTACCCGTCGGCTCCGATGTTTTGTTCGCCATTTTCAAAGTGGAAAATAGCGAAGATGAAGCAAATTAAAAGGAATGTGTTGCAGAGAGCGAAACGAAAGGGTAGCAGGATGAGGGACAGCGGGTCGAGGGTGCCTGTTACTAACAACGCGGTGCACTTTACAACAGACGGCCTCTGCTGACCAGACGCTTTTTCGACGGGTGGAATAGACATTCGACGAGACTTTTCTCTGTCGATATCTAAGTTTGATGTATCTGTGCAGCTGGCAACTATTGATTCTCTAGCAAACTGTTATTAGAAGGCTCTTATCAAATGAGCCAATTTCAAGTGATCTCGCTGCTCAAATTTCTTCAGGATATATTTCACGGAATTCGGAAGACGAAGCAGAAGCAAGTTCCGAAACTCGGAAATCGACTTTATCATTCATTTTCAATTGAAAAACTGTTGAAAGTCCGAGGTTGGAAGGAAAATTAAATGACTCAAACATTCGAAGTTGGAATTATAGAAAAAAGCTTTTTAAACAAAAAATGTATATGAAACTGTTAATTGAAATAAAAATGAAAGCGATACAATAATTTATTTATTTATTTACGATTTCAAGAATCGAAAGAAAAAAGACAAATACGTGAAAATACATGATAAGCAGTTTTCAAATAAATAATGAATTCTAGTAATATGAAAAGGAGAGAATGAACTTTTTGAAATGAACATAAAAAACAAAATTATAGGGAGAGTGAAATAATACATATCTCATAGCAACATAAACAAAGAACATTTATCAAAACTTCTGTCAGGTTCTGAGTTCTGTCAGGGTTTAATTCAGTCTAACGAAATTCATAATCATCAAACACAATCAAGCAAAATTCTCCAGCACATTTCCATTGAAATCAGGCCAAACAATTACAGCAGCATATCATGTAGTATAAAGGATTGTCGCTTTCGTTCCATCTTTGCGAGTGATATGACGACGAGATTCCCAAACCTCTGAATTTCATTTACCACCGCAATAATAGTAGTCGAAACGATTAGGAGCTTCTTCGTACTGTATACCATCGAAAACGTCATCAATCGAAAAATATTGTTCCACTCTAACGCCCAAATACTTTAATTGTTGAAATCCGCGATCCAACCAAAAACGTAGTATCCCTTTGAATTGCACATCAGTAAACCAGGTTTCATCCAAGTGCATCTCAATGCAGTCCAGTTCGAAAAATGTGTCATGTTCAATGGATGATGTATACCAAAGCCTGAGGACGTCGAACTTCTTCTTTTCCTGTGGTAGCACAATACTGTTTGTCGTGTGAAAAGTATAACAACGCGAATTTTTTCTTAGCACATTGAGGACATCAGCATCTGACAAAACTAGAGCATCCTTGTCTTTTCTAATTTTGATTCTATCGATGAATCTGTCTTCCCGTCCGACATGGTCCAACATCCATAGACAAGAGTCTCCAATTTTTATAGATTCAACGGTTTTACAAACCAATTCCGAGAAATGATCCGTAATAGTTTTGAATCCCTCCAAATAGCTGTGACAATAGAGATTCAGGTGGCCGGGATCTGCTGGTAATAAGTAAAACTTTTTGTTTCTAAAGTAGACAGTTTTGGCGTTAATTGGTTTTCTTGTCTGGTGAAGAAATGAAACCACCACCATCTGGTTATCCATGTGATGCAGTGATACCGTTTTTAAACTACGAATTCCGAATGTACGAAAATTAAACGCTCTCATAGCTCCGCTCATCTTTACCAACTTGGTCGTATTCTTTGAACACAAAGAAAACAGGAATCTGGAAAACAAAAGAATATGAAAAGGTGAAAAGATTAGTTGTAAAAACTTACGCTGTTTTTGGATCTATGGAACAGATTATTTCGGAGTAAAAAAGGCACGGGTAATTCAGAATTTTCATACGGTAGTTTGTTATTTTGAATAAGTACAGAAAACCAGTGCAAATATCAAAACAATTAATAAATATACTTGACAAATAATAAGAGGACTCTCAGAATGTGTGGTGGAAGGATATAATGAATGATCTTCTCAGGTCAGTTGATTGAATGAGAGAGGATGACACAGAGAAACATGCACAACACAGAGGTTTTTCTCTGAATAACACCCAGATTAAGGGTGGTTGCACAGCGAAAGTTGTCTTTTAGTACGGTCATCAACCGCGCTTCGATTGCGGGGAGCAGACGAGAGATAGGAGAGGGAAGACAGAGGAGACGGTCTCTTCCAAGAATTTGTTGTACGCCACGCACGCAACGAGGACCTACACGGGGTTCGTGGTTTCCGATCAATAAAAAAATAACCGTAATAGTAACCAACTAAACTGACTAACCGACCGGTGCAAGTGGAAAGTAGAAAACTTAATAGGTTGGAAGGCTATCCAAATTTTTAGTCGGTTGAATATGTTACCACAAAGCCTTAATTTTGTTTTAACCTAGTTGTAACTTAATTGAATATGTTTTTGTCACATATTGATTATGGCTGTACTATGGGATTTAACTTTTTAAATACTTTTGATAATTACCATTCACAAGTAATTCGAGAAGAACCTGTCACTGACCATTCGGTTGAAATAGGAACTGCATTCGGACCATAGGCAAATCAGTTTCAGAAAATCACAACCTATCCCGTATTTTGGAACTCGACAAATTGTCAACGAATTATTTACATGCATATCAAGTTGTTTTCTAAGACTTTCGTTACTGTATGATTGGGTGGCAATATATTGATTGGCTCTTCCGTGGCTAAGTTTTTAGTAATTTTCTAAAAATGACCTCATACTGTAACTCTAAAAAACTTTGAAAAATCTTCCGTCTCCCTTCCATTAATGTAATATTTTTCTAAATTTCAAAACACATAAATACAAAGTTTTGACACGATTGAATCTATTCTAGATGTAGCCCAATCATCGGTATAAATACAGTGAAATTTCTCACATAAATCTAATTATTTTGATCCATTTTTGTCAGGGTTCGTAGTTTCATTCTCTTTCAGAATCTGTTTTCAAAACTATTTTCAATTGTTTCCAGTGGACTTATGATTATGTCCACTTTTTTGGTTCACTTTTTCGATGCTTCAAAAAATTTCAAAACCAAGATTGTATCGAATGATATTAATTTATTAACATTTCAAAATAGTACTTATTTCGTCCATGTGCTGTTCAGTCTATATTCATAGTTTTCGAAAAAATTCGAAATTCAAAGTGTACTAATAATTATGTCTAACAGTGTATAATAACTCCGAATCTCTTTCAGACTAAGAAAACCCCTTTCTTTTCTGTTTTCCGGAAAACCCCTTTTTCCCTCGGTTCATTCCCCAAACAAGCAGAACACAGAGCACACTGGATGATCGGGAATGATGATCTACTGCGATTCAATTTTCCTGGTAAGCGTCGTTTTCTGAAATATTTGCTGTATGAGTTGATGGAAAACACGTGTCAACGCGATGACGAATTCTAAACAACAGACTTTTTGAATATGCGAGAAGAAACTTTCAGCAAACGATAAATTGTTATGTAAATATGTGATAAGTTTCAGTTCATTTATTCGAAAATTATTTCTAAGTGTTCCCGTGATATCCAGATTGAATTGTTGGAAGTTACAGTAGAATATGAACATACAACAGAACTACTTGCTGGAACTGGAAAAAGACTGCGTTTTGAATTGCTCCTAGACATGATGGATGCTTCTGAGTTATGCTTCTTGAATTTTTTATTATGGTTTGGTTCATCTTGGTTACCTTCCAATTCATTACATAATTCAGTTTTACAAATTATTTCCATACTTTCAACTTCTTACAGTAGACCACGAGAACCTTCTTTGTCACAGGATGGGGCATCTGACAATATAGTCATTCACATCAGCGCTTCTTCAGAACTTGTTCTATTTTCAGCCTTTCCAAGTTGTTATTTTTGTCTAGCATCAGAGCGAAAAAAACAACAACACGCGGTGTGTGGTCAAATGGGAATTCCAAAGTTCCCTAGAGAAAGTTGTTGATGATATCTTTGGAATTCGCCCTTACGTTGCTCGCAGACATGGCCAAAGTGCGTTTGTCTGAAACCAGTGTTCACGTGTTTTCCTGATCAGTGTTGTTGTTTTTTCGATAGATATAGACTGAATGTAAAGTCCAAATAAACTCAAGTGGACAAAGTTCAGAATAGGGAAAAGAATTTCCAGGAAGAGTTCCGAATGAATGCCTGAACTAGTCTCAACTTCCTTGTCTGATTGGTTTCATTCTAAGAGAAGACCGTAGATTAAGAGAAACAAGCTCATTTCCGGGTGGAAGCTCCAAATAATATGAATATTATTATTAGTTAATGACCATTGTTATAATTGGTCTAATTGAATTCAAAAGTTTTCTGAATTTTTCGAACTATCTGAGAAAGAATTTATATCTTCGTTTGAACCAAAATGAACAACTCCGTACTTGGTACATAATGATTGCTTCTTTTTTATCAATCAAAATTTATAGCATCGAAATGAGTTCGAAAGTTCCTCTTCCATTTCAACGAAACATTATTTGCTTGCTCTTCGTTCGCTCGGAATCTGGGGAACCCCTCTGTCATTTCGCCGTCGGAAATTGATCGGATGATAACGATAATTCCACTGATAGCTATAAATGGTAAGATACGTCGCGTCGTCTCACCACAGGGAAGCCCCACTTCCTTTCATTGCAATTTCCTGTCCCACCGCTGACATCTGACAAAAAACAAAAACGTCGGCAGTGGTGGCTGCATCAAGGCAGGACAAAGTGGAATCATGTGAAGCGGACGATGTCTGTCAATTGTCCTTTGTCACATTTTAAAGTGGGTTTCACCAGTGGAGAAATGACAAGGACTGGTCTAAACAAGGAAAGTGAGTACATAGTACATCAAACCGTCCTTCGATTCAATTTTCCCGCAGCTGTTAAAAGCAGATGAGAATGGGAATTCGTCAGAAAGCCTTGATAATGACGATAGATTGCGTCAATGTGTTTTAGAAATAGTAGAAAACATGCTGGCTGCTACTCATCTACGTCTGGGAATCGGGTCAT